ATTATGTGTTAGGAACCTATTTAGTTATTATTGGTATAAAGTACAAAGTTGGTTGGTTAAACTGCCTCAAAATTATATAGATGTGAAACCAGAATTGCTTTTATTAGGTATTTTATTAGAGGATTTTGAGAACACTGTATACTATGAGAGCAATATTATGATAGCAGCCAATATTGTATGTGATTCAAATGCTTAAAAAAGGTATAGATCTGAAGGGACAACTAAGAAGACACCAAGACGGAAAAAAAAACAAGTAATTATAAGCAACCCATATAACACAATGTTTAACAAGCATGAACTGTATGTAGATACGTTGAAAAACTAATAAAATGTTAATTAAAAAAAAAGTGCCAACAGCTCTGCCAACTGAGCCTCCATACTCAGGAGACCCGAGAAAATGACACTTATGGGGTCAGCACCATCTGACACAGCCAGGGGGTAGTGAAGGGAACTGCCTTGACTCAAGAAGAAGAACCACCATGGGAGGCAAAGTGACTGACTGGGAAGAGTACCGGGGATCAGTGGGGACCACCTATAAAGAACAATAAAGTTCACTGTCCCAGCAGCATACTACAGCCCACAGGGTTGTTATGGTGATGCCCTTGGAGCCTTTGACATCTCCCTGTCCATGAAGAGGCTTGGGACCTACACCATTAGAAATTGGATTTCGATCATTATTTTTTTTTCTTTTCTTTGTTAAAATAAAAGTATTGCCATGCTTGATATACTCATTTTTCCTAACTGCCCACTCATGTTACTTTCAATGTACAGTATGTCATCAGTTTGCTTGAAGACCCGATCCATATCCTCCCCAAATAATTTTTTTTTAAAAATTCCTAACTGCCCACTCATGTTACTTTCAATGTCATCAGTTTGCTTGCCAAATAATTTTTTTTTTTAAATTCCCATACTATTTTTTTTTTAAAAAAAGATCTTGACTTGGTCATTTTCTGACACCTTCTCTACCTGATGTCCCCATGGGTTTCTGGAGGCTGGCAAGTTACTTTTTTTTTTTTGCAAAATGACTAAACAACTACAATAACAACATGGAACCACTTTCACTCTGTGGTCCATATTAGCCTTTCAATCCATCTATACCACTGTTCAGAGGAATGATGATGGTAGCACCTGTTAGTATATACTTGCGCAGCAACTGCTGAAGAGTGTGCATAAAGAAGTCCTGAGAACTCTATCTGTGTATATCAGCAATTCATTTATTACTTAAGGTCCTGAAGGCATCAAACTAACTCCCTCCCATGCCATTACCTGTTCAGCCTCAAAATCAACATTTCTTTGAAGTAATTAATGCTTTTCTCATTTCCACATTCTCCCTCCCGGCCCTTGGGATCATAGAATCCATAATTTTGCTGATCTCAACAACTGCAAGGTCTAGGGTGGGTGGGGGCACAATTCAGCAAGGCTACAGAGGAGACTCTGAGTTACCCTGCTCTTTTAAACAGACATAATCCCTCCTCGTTCATTTTTCAACCCAGCAAATATTTACTTCAGAATTCATCTGCCCAAAAGATTAAAAGCAATTTGGCCCCAAATGGCCTTACTCGGACAGATCTGTCCCGATCAACAGTGTTCTCCTTCAGGGATTATATCTCCCCCCCCCTCAACATAAAAATCATCCCTCCTGCCCTCCCACTTCTTTTTGGTATATTAAAAAGGGAAAATAATTTTATGCAGAAGGAGAGGTCACAATATCTTTCTATACATTGGTCTTTTTTTCATTCTGCACAGTAACAGAAGGTGAAAAACTATTTTAATAACACTGTTTATGCAAAACTATGAGAATACATTACTTCTGAAATGTAACCTTTGGTTCTTAAGCCAGGAGCAGGTTTTTACATGTATGCACATTACACAGACATCCCACACAAGCATAGGCTCCCTCCTGTCTACGAAGTTTAATTTAAGGTACTGGTATGACCTAATAAAGACCTAAATTGATAAGGCCTGAGAGACCACCTCCATTTTCAAGCATCTAATGTTTAAACTAAAATGCTTCCTTAAGGTTCCCATCTGGGCACCAAGTTTAGATTGTAAAGGCACTTACTTGATGTGCAGAAATGCCTGCATTCCAGATCTTCAAGGCCCACCAAAGCAGCATAAAACTGTTTAGAACAGACAGAAACATGCACACAGGCCAGTCCTTCCTGGACAAAACCACTTCAGAATATAGTGGAATGTGAAAGAAATCACTGGATAAAATCTTCCTCCATGTTTAAAAAAAGAGAAGAGCTGCTTATGGGAAAGTGCCATGTCATGGTCCAAGCTAAACTAAAACAGTGGTGTTGGTCTCACACACAGAATAGCCACCCTGTGCCCCCTCACAAACATGCAGCCCATGGGGGATTGTGAGATGTGGTTGTTTTGCAATCTTTAGCTAGCTCAGATGTGTAGGGCACCTTTCTTCTGTAGGCAGTTTTAGGGTACCATGGGCTTGTGGAGTTTTAAATGGTTCTTAAATATGCAGATGTTATGTTACATTTCCCCTTACCATAGTCAACATTAGAAGACAAAAAAAGAGATAGTCACCTAGCATATAATCAAATAAAACAGGAGAGGTCTAAAAGCAAAAACAGAGCTTTATATGACTGAAAGTTACCTGAACAAGTGGTGGTTTCCACCTTAAGTTTTTAAGTGGAGCCGGAGTGAAATTAAAGGATCCTGTGTGGCGTTTCTTCACCAGTAGTGTAACTCCAGAAGGATTCTCACGGAGTTTCCTCACAAGGTTTTTCAGCTGCCAACCCACCTTCAAAATAAACAAAATTGTTTAACTGGATAATTATGAACACAAGATATGGATTATGTCAGAGATTACATTATATCCACTATATCATCACCTCACACGATAGACATATTAGTGTGAGCATCTTCTAGCAGCTACATATTAAGTCTTTATTTTGGTAGGGTTTTTTGTGTTCAAGGGTACAAGTGCAACATTTTAGTGAATGCTCTCCTTAGCTTTCTGATGGTACGTACAAATATGACATCATTCACACATCATTCACATTCCTAGTTTGAGAGCACAAATAGAAGATATAATAAATCAGCTCTGCAGTCTCTTTATCACCACACAATGCTAAGACAAGCTGTATTCTACTTTCGTAAAACACCCCATCCCAAGGTTGTAGCTGTACCTATAAGGAGATAAGGAAACTGGGTTGCCTAGCATCTCTATCAGTAAGAGAGACACACTAGCCTTGCCGAAAATATTGGTCATTCAATCCAGTTCCACATCCCCATCTCTTCAATGGATGCATATCTAGTGACTAAGGGACTTCATCAAGCCACTTGGCCTTGGCTAAAAGAAAGAATTGGTGTGGGCAGGGCAAAGCAAACGGATACATAGAATTTAGCCAGCAGTGCTGATGAATATGTTTCCATCTTGTTTTAAGAAAGTTTGCTTTTATGCTTCCTATATGCTATATGCAACCTTATGTACAGTAGCTGAAAAGCAGGATTCTTTTTTTTTAGAGAAAGACTACAAAATAATTGACAGTGAGAAACTATAAGTGTAGAATTCTACTTCCTCAAAGCAGAGCCCCTCCACTTAATGGGACTGATCGCCCACATTCCTCAAAATCAGCAGCTGTGCTTGCTAACCAGTAAAGTCTCCCAATAGCAGTAAGAGTTCAATCTATCATAACCACAAGTTCCATGTATTTTCACCCTCAGAAACTGTAGGCACAGAGAACAGCTGTCGTTATCTCGGTCCTAAAACATCTTGGGCTGAACAAATGAGCAACACTGGGCAACAGGTTCTGCTTCTGCACCAAACATTGTAAAGTGCTTAAGGTGGCAAAGAGGTCAACACTGAAGTAGCTGCCAGATGCATGTGTCAAGGGAGAGGGAAATGCACATCCCTTCTGTCAGGCAGAGATTCTTCCCCATCACCTTGTGCCTGATTTAACTGGAGATGGATCCTAGTCCTGTTTCCAGAGATCTGCATTTTGTCACAAAACACATACATGCATGAACACACTCCACACTCCCTTCTTCATTAGTAAACTTTAATTTGGATAGGACTATAAAACATCTAATGGTCTATAAATATTCTTAGGTCAGAACCACATTGCCTTATGAAATCATTTCAGCATAAGCATGAGTGTGAGCAATGTTACCTATTTTCCAGGCCGTTCATAATCTGCTGGTCTTTCCCTGACTGCACAGCTTAATCATGTCACTGGTTACATGCCTGGGCACATGACTGGCAACCCATAAGAAACTGTATGCGTGATTACCTTCATAGACAGACTATTCTCAAACTCTGTAAAATTTCTCATGACTGTCTTCACGCTTAAGGATTCAATGAGAATCACCTGCTTCAGCTGTCTTTAAAACATAATTTTGCATTGCTACTGATGAATGCACAGAATGGTAAGGAATGCTCCATTAAAAACCATGAATTTAATTGAAAGGGATATCACTGTTAAATCAAGATAAACATTTGTCTTCGAAGTCATTCATATTGTGAAATCTGCTAAGCTGAATATCAAGAAAACTCCTTTTTTGAATACGGTGAGTCGAGCAGAGATGTCCAGTGCTCCATCTTGCCCGGTGACTCTTGATTCCTTTCAGCCTGTCACGCCTGATTCTGTGGCCAGGGTGCTTGATCGCTGTCGAGCCACCACCTCCTCCTTGGACCCTTGCCCGGAATGAATGAACACGAAATAGGGCCTTCTCGGCGGTGGCTCCTCGCCTCTGGAATAACCTTCCTCCGGCGATTCGGGCGGCCCCTACGCTGGGCACTTTTAAGAGCCAATTAAAAACATGGTTGTATGTCCAGGCCTTCCCTCCTGTCAATACCTAATCTTCATTATTTATTATTTCCTTTATTCTCATATATGTCAGTCTGTTTGTAATATTATTATTATTTATTGTATATGTTCCTTTTATTGGAAGCCGCTCAGAGTGGTCTATTTGACCAGATGGGCGGGATACAAATCAAATAAATAAATAAATAAAAATAAATAAAATAAACTACAACACAAAATACCGTTTACATACCACAGTCTGGCGATTCACCTGGATCACTTCATCACCAGCATGAATTTTCTGAGATCTATCAGCAGGAGACTACAGAGGACGGAGAGAAATGCATATTTTATTTACTTAACCACTTAAAAATTACACACACACACCCCAAAAAAAGCCTGTTTCAAGATTTGCGTGCCAGTGCAACTATAAATTCAGTAATTAGGGAAATGCCAAACATTTATATGAGGCCAAATGCAAGTCAGCAGGGCTCACCTATTACATGGAACTCCAGGGGCAGGAGAGGGAAAATCAAGGGCTAAGGCCAGTATCCTACCAAGCTTCTCCTAAGCGGAAAGCCTGCCCAAAGTGGTATTCGGGAGTCTGCTGTTTGCAGAACTACTGCTGTTGGCAAGTGGAGAGTGGGCTTTCTTCATGGAATGACAATGCTCATGCAAGCACCATCTCACATGAATGTGGCACTTCATGCTCTGCACAAGCTGAAGAGGATACTCAAAAGTAATCTGATCAAATCAAGAGCAAAACAGTATATACAAGGGATTGTTAAAAAGATCAAAAGTTCTCCTCAACTAGTGTGACAAGACCTGGGTGAAGACTCAGTCATATTTCAAAGGTTTAAGAATCTCCCCCATCCTTTTTCAAGAGCAAATTTAAAATATGGAGTTTAGATACTTCTGCTGCAATTCACCATGTCAATTTTTAAAGAAAATGTACTAGGATACACATGAGTCATTTGAGTTCACATATTCTTTACTGTTTACTTACTCAAAAAAGATGGCAATTTAACACAGTATCTCTACTGTAGTTACCGAAATGAGCTATCTGAACCCCAGAAAACATACTACCTATCACTCATGTTTACTGAAAATGCAGGGCATTAAAAATTTCATAGTAATGACATCCTGAAAGACAAGTGGCATGTTAGCTGTCTACAGCAGTTTGGCTTCTAAAATATTCATTCTGTTGAATCCAATACAGGACACAATGCAGCAGCTAAGGTTTGAAGAATCTCTGCTACCCTAACATTGTGTCACAACTAGTGATACCTGCCTGACAGTATGTGTCAGAGAAACAGAGAGGGAAGGAGTGCTAAACTGATCCACTTGACTCATGTAGCTGAAACAATTGCCTCATTTCCCCTGTTCCTTGATCAAGTGCAAAGCAGGACAGAATGATCCCCGTTGGGCTACCTGAGAACGGAAAGCTTCCCTAGGAAAGACTGCTCACCCACCACCATCTGACTGATCTGAGACATTCCATTTGTACCGTGTCAGAATCCCAACACAATGCTACACTTGCAGCACTTTCTTTAAAAAAGAAAAAAAGCTATGAGAAAAATTAAGAAGGATGTTGGGAAAGACTGGGAACCTCCAGCCACATTGAGCTGTCCATAGCAAAGAAATAACAATTTCGCCAAAGAAAGGAGCCAATGATGCTGTTGGGTCAAAAGATGGTAAACATTGCTTTTTGGGATTACAGCTCTCAGGATTCTACAGCCAGCACGGCTACTGTGGTGCTTGCCATGGGATTCTGGGAATTACACTCCCCCACAAGCAGTTATTTCCCATCTCTCCTCTGCATATATACAGCCATACCTGTGGTCATATGAAATGCAGGTTACAAACATCAAGGTATATACCGTTCAGGACTAAGAAACTTGTGTGTTACTGTTACTACTGTTTTTGAATATACAGCCCTCCAACTACATCACAAGCATTTGGAAAATGCCCTGACAAGTTTGATTCGGACAGAGAATTCTCACCAAAAACAGGAAATCACAAGTCATTAAAAAAAATTGGAAATCCTGTCACCTGACTGGAATCCAGCACGTCTCCATCCTTTTGAATAATCCCAGAGCTTTAACAACTGCCACGTCAGACTTTCCTTTACTGATGCAAATGGACAGAGAGCAGATGAGGAGTAGCAATGTGAAGCAAATGTGTGTTCTCTATATCTGGGCAGGTGGCACTGGTACTCATTACAAAGCAGGAAAAGGAGATAGACTGGAACATTTAGATCTTTTACTCCTCTGGAGAGATATGGACTTCTCCAAGATCGGAAATGAACACTGTAAAAGTTTCTGATTTACTGTTTACGTCAATAGTATTACCTTTATTTTTTAAAAATATCACTATCAAAGCAAAATGAAGGCAAATTTAAGATAGCCCAGAAACTTTTATCAAGCAGAGATCAGTCATTCTGATTGCATTCAAAACAGGTTCTGGCAAAACAAGGCCATTCATAGACCGGGCACTGCTAACATCAAAAATCAGAATAAAGCTGAAGAAGAACACTAGATAAATCCAAGTGCTAAAATATGATTCAGATATATTCCTGAATGTTTACACGCCAGGCCCTCCTGTCTTCCACTGCCTCCCTACATTAGTAAACTGCAATTATCTGAAAACCACAAGCTACATTACTAAACGGCAATTAACTGAAAACCAGACCAGATATTATCAGGAAAGAATGAAAAAAAAAATCTGTAGTCAAAAAAGAGAGACAGAGAATTCAAGATGGATGTTTCATGAAACTCTAAAAATTATTCATGACAGATGAGAAGCAAAAGGTGACCAACTATCGCATAAAGACAACAGAAACTATTACAATAATCAGTGCAAAGAAATAGAACAACAAAAGGGAGGGGACAAGAAATCTCTTCCATGAGATCCAAAATTTCCAAAAGAAATGTACAGTACAGTAAGATTAGAGATTCTGAAAGATTAACAGGAGTACATATTATCTGATCAGGATAAAATAAAGATGGAAACAATATACTAAAGAACAAGATAGAAGAGATGCAAAGACAGATTCCTTTGAAGAACCCTGTGACAAAGAACCTGAGATTTTAGAAAGCAAAGGCTACTTTGATAATAAATTCTCAAGTGTAGCGGGGACACCAAAACAACTATTCCAATTTACTGAAACTTAATCTATCAAAATCCTAGCAACAATATGCCAGCATATATGAAAAACAAAACAATGGCCTAGAGACTGGAAATGTTGAATATGCATTCCAATCCTCAGAAAAGGAGACACCAACGACAACAGTAATTATAGGGTCATCACATTAATTTTCCAGGCAAACAGAATGACACTCAAGATTCTGCAACAAAGACTTTAACCATATATGGACTGAAAAAATTGTTAATGTTCAAACTGGATTCAGAAAAGGCACTAAAGATCATACTACAAATATAAATTGCCTACTGGAATGTACCAAGGAAGTAGAACATTTGATTGTGTGGATTATTGTGGGTTATTTTATTTCCTTAACCATTCAATCTTTATTCAGCACAAATGACACAAAAAGATGAATTGAATTCAGATGAAGGAGCAGTGAAAACTGGTGGAAGAAATAGCAGCACCTTAACACATGCAGGTAATAGCATATTACTGGCAGAAAGCAAAAATGATTTGAAAATGTCTACTGGTGAAGGTGAAGAAAACACAAAAGCAGGTTTGTAGTTCAATACTATGAAAACAAAAATACGACTGCAGAAGAATTACATAACTTTAATGCTGGCAATGAAGAAATTGAAATTGTTAAGGAACCAAAACCAAGATCATCCATACCACAATATTTTCAATTACAGTGGTGCCTCGCATTACAATGTTAATTCGTTCCAGCGAAATCACTGTAGAATGAAAATGTCGTAAAGCGAAAATAAAAAAGCCATTGAAACGCATTAAAACCTGGTTAATGCATTCCAATTGGCTAAGAACTCATCGTCCAGCGAAGATCCTCCATAGGGGCGGCCATTTTCGGGTGCTTGTGCAGCGAAAAATGGCTCCTAAACACAGCGGGGAGCCATATTGAGCACGCGGCGGCCATTTTGAAAACCCAACAATCAGCTGTTTTGATCGTCGGGAAGCGAAAACCGGTTCCTGAACCAGGGAACCGATCATCGTGCAGCGAAATTCCCCCATTCAAAACGTTGTCGACAAAAACCTTGTCGTAATACGGATTCATCGTTAAACGGAGTGCCCGTCTTGCAAGGCACCACTGTACTATGTACAGATGTGAAAAACTGAACTGTGGAGAAAGCGGACAGGAGGGGAAAAATCATTTAAATTGTGGTGTTGAGGCAGAACTTTAAAGAGAACATGGCTCTCCAAAAGGACAAATAAGTTAACAGTAGACCAAGTCTACACCCATGGTGTTGTAGTGGATAGAGTGATGGACTAGTACTCAGGAGGCCTGGGTCTAAATCCCCTCTCAGTCATAAAAAATCATGGGGTGTGTGCAGGTGGGGAACTAGTAAAACCACTCCTTAAATATCTCATTTACCTTGTAAGTGCAGGTCCATGTGACACATAACAGGACTATGGTCAGATAAAAAATAAAGGTCCAACTACAGACCAAATCTTGCCTAAACACTCTCTAGAAGCAAAAATGACTAAACGGGAGCTGTAATACTTGAGGCATATCATGGGAAGCACAATAATGTTTGAAAAAGTTGAAGGCAGCTGGAAAAGAGGAAGATCAAATATGAGATGGACTGCCTCCCTAAAGGAAACCACAGGCTTGAGTTTGCAAGAGCTGAGCAGGGCTGTTGAGGAGAGGACATTTTGGCGATCTTACAGTCATAGGGCCACCGTAAGTTGGAAGTAGCTTGACAGCACATTAATAAAGACTGAAACTACTGTCATTGACACATTTTAGGATCTCAGTGTATTCAAGATTTTGTATTTTCATGGGCAGGAGCAAATTCGTAATTTCATATCAATTTTGCCAGGTGAAGTCACTGTCTTCCAAATGAGAAGAAATATCACTTGCCTTTAACTGACAGGACTCCTCTGACTGTTTTCTCAATGCCAGCAAAACATCACCAAGTCCTTTCCTCCTTCAACCCCTGTGAAGCTTTACTGCTAAAAAGGTCTGTTTCTGTTATCTTGAAAACCTGTGTTGTTCCAGGAAGTATGTGGAATCTTACATTCCCTTCCCTGTCTAAACATCCTGCTGTTGCTTTCATAAAGGACACAACACATTATGGAAGCTCATATTTGCACAACCAGCATTTATTAGACTAAGCATCATAAGCACTTTGCTCAACAATAGTTCAGGTAATTCCAGTTATTTGAAATGGCAGGAGCATTCTGAAATATCCTTGCCTTATTTACATGCTGCAAAGTTAACTAATGGGTTGATATGAGGCTGATACCATCAGATAAACATATGCTCTGTTTTCACAATCAAGGATATTAAATTAATGATAATGTTGTCAAATCCAAATAAACTAATTTATGACAAGCTCGGAATCTGTGTTTAATCAAGTTGATGCTTTGAGTTCTATTTTGCTTAAAAAATGATTTGTTCTCATTCTGTTTGGAGAAAGGAAAAGAAAACTTACATTTTCTGTTGTTCCAGTAACAACATGCAATCCGTCGTATGTAGATTTTATATACATTCCCTAAATCGGATAGTTGAAAAGATACAGTAAGTGTATCAGTAATTACTGTGCACCACAATATTACCTAGAAGATCATACAATTATTTCTGAAGAACCATTTCCCCTCAACGCCATCTTGGCACCAGTCCAAATCCAGCATTTGTTTAACTGTACAAGTGAAGGAGTCAGAAGGAGTCAGTGGGAAGAAGGAAAAAAATCTTGGGTTGGGGGAAAACACCCCACCCTGTTTTGATGAGTTTTGGTTCAATGAATGAGTTTTGGTTCAAATTCTGACCCAGTCAATTTCATTCCTGAGTGACATAAAAAGAAAATTCTTGTGTGGCAAGCTGAGGAGAGTATCCTCCAGGGGTTTGTATATTCCATCAAATGGTCAAAAAAGCTACCTGTGAAGACATGGATACAAGAAAGCACCCTTCTATATTCTTAAAACCCTCTCATACATGCACATCCATGTATATCTCATGGGATATATAAAATGAACAAGTATCCCTTCAAGAATAACAGTAATACCTCTCAAAAATCTATCGCATGAACACAGTTTAAGCTGCTGGTTTTCAGCCTTTCACGTCTCACAAACTACTCGGTCAAAGAACCTGGATCCCAACATAACAGCCTCAAAAAGCTTGGGTTTTCCAAAAAGGACATTGCTATGTTTATAGATATTTGGTAAACATGTTTAGAAGCTATGGCAAGTTTTAAGGTCATGAAATTGCAGTATTATTATTGGGAGTGAACAAAACAAATAATAGTGCCATTAACAGTGGGAAAGGGTAATAATATTACTGAGTATACACTTGACTGGAACAGTACAAATAAAATGCAAGGGTTTAAGTAGGAACAAGCTGAATTGCTATGATGACAATAGAAATAAGGCTAAACATTCCATAACTTCATATTATTACAAATCTCATATCCTACCCAAGACAAAACCTGTATTCAACCACTGGTATGCCTACTAGCTGAGAATTTCTGCCTTAAGCAACCCTGTTACAATTAATGGTTAGTGTCCTACTGCTAGTCCCAAGTAAAAGTAGACTTACTGGCTTGTTGCACAGTTGTGCAAACAGCATACCTCTTGGGAGGCAAATTGCCATTAATTTCAGAAATCTCTGTAAAACTTCTACAGTATGTTGAATGCCAAATTGCACAACTGTATATACAACAGATAGTGTCTATAGAGATTTCTTCACTTATGGCAATTTGCTTCCACAAGTTATCAGTGCAACTACACAATTGGCATTCAGCCACTGAATAAATAGCTGAATGGTAATGTAAATCCCATTGAGTCAATGAGTCTAGACTAGTTGAAACTAGCAATAGAATATTGGCCAATGCAAAATCCATACAAGCTATAGTTTCTCACTATTTATTATTTCTGAAGTGACAGAGACAATTCAACCTTCTGCAGTTGTCAGAAGACTTTATGTATTACCTAATTCTGACATTATTCAGCTCAATGAGATGGTCTGTCCAAATGGATCTTGACATTTGACATGATATTAGCAATTTTCTGAGGTTTCAATTCCCCTGGAACAATTTCTCCCTTCTTTTTTTAATGCAGTTGAAGTATTTCAAGAGGGAATTCCCTGCTTCCCTTCAAGGAAGAGAACAGCAGCTCTTGTCCTCACATGGCTATCAGTGTTTCAGACCGCAGATTCAAACTGCTTAACACAAAGTGCTTGTTCTTACCCCAGCTTAATTACATTCAGTACATGAAAACTAGGCCACTTTAAAGGATGAAAGGAGGATAATTGGCAATAATTCAGAAAAGAGAAAAAAGAAGCATTCTTACCAGGCCTTCCCCAGGTTTGATATTGGTTAAATGAACCTCCTCAAGACATGCTGCCTGGCTCATTAATGGATCTGTTGCTGAGCGGACTGTCTTGTCACAAATTCCATTTAAAACCTTTGACTGGAAGAAAGTATGGACACAAGTTACAGTGATACTTGTTTCTGTACATAAATTCTCTGTCCTCCCTGAAACAAAGCTGGTGGGGAGGGGAGGCACGATTTAAACAGCCATCCCTTGTTTGTTACTATAGCCAGATTTACAGACTGCAGTAATTACCAGGAATATATCCTATTAACTCCCTGGTTAGAAAAGTTGTGGTCCTTGTGTCAAAATCAAACCCTACAGCCATAATTCATGCCTTTGTAATCGGACCCAGGATCCCTAACAAACTTTATTAGGTGCAACATTTGTTTACAACTCCGATCAGGGATATGAATTCTCAACTATCTTATTCTCATGTACAAGAGTGGTGAAACATTTCTAGCCTGCTCTGTATTGACAACAGCTCCTGCATTTGCAAAAAATATTTTTGCGCATACTCGGCAGAATTATAACAGCTGCTGCCTTGTTTCTCAGGTTTAGAAATATCAGGTCAGTTATCTGCATCTCTCTGAACAATTAGCCGGTCCTCCTGTGCTTCCTGTATGTTGCCTGCTTTGTTTCACAAAGATAAACAATACCTTTGTGCAGAGATTATTTGCACCCCCATAGAGCAATTGATGGGAATTATTATTTTTTTAATCCTGTGTAACTGTATTTAGGCAAGAATTACTCCTTGGACAAGTGAGTCCTCAACAGGGCCATTTTACACAGGACTTCCAAATACTGTATTCTTTATGGTCCTATTTCAGAAGCATTGGCTACGAAGAATACAACAGGGACAGTTTTCTCAGGCAGGACCACTGGAGGGTGTGAAAGGGGAAAATGAGCCTCTTCCAAGGTTCAGAAATTCTTGTTGTCAGATTGTTACTGGCAGCAGAGAAACAATGATCTCCATGGAGATCACTGAGGGAGGGGGAGTAGAAAGGAAAATCTCCTCCATTCACCCATAAAACCACTTCAGAAATCATTGTTTTCCTAGCAGTGGAGAAATGTAAGTTTTGGTGCATATTATGGAGATACACCCATGGATGTAAAATCCTCTCCCATTTTCATGTGATCTTGCTTCCCAGACTTTTTTCCCTGTCACTGTTAGGAAGAGCAACTTCAGGGACAAATTGTACACTACAAATAGTACATTGTTATAAGTCAAAATCACATTCAGCGTCCTACAGACATGATTCTGGCAGGCCTTCATGTTGTGTTGGCGTGATCAATCTTACAAACAAAGCTCACGCCTACCTCCCAATGATCAACCACAAAATAAAGGAAAATCATTTGTAAACTAAGGAAGGTGTGAAAAGCTCCTCACTGACTACTAGACATCTTTTAGCACTTCAATTTTCTAATAAAACTATCTGTAATGTATTGCTGGAGACCCACAGAGACCCTTGCAGACATTTAGCTCCACCACCAGCACCCCATCCAACAATTCCTGGACCTCAAGTGAGCAAGGGTTAGGAACTTGGCCTACTGAGATAATGGGAGATGGTGTTGAGTGAATATCTATGGAGAAGACATGCATGTGTGCACCACAATCAACCGACACTGGATGGGACCAATTAGTTGTATGCTCCTGCCTTTAAAATGGAGAGGATCATTAGCATCTTATCCCATTATATGTGTTGGCTTCTTGTTCTATTTGGGAATAGGCACCAGCTCATACATTAAGCATTCTTCATAAGCATATAAACACCTTTCTCTTGAAAGGTGAAACTATAGGGTGAAACTGGTCTATATGGGACAAATTTTAATGGTTATGTTTGGCCTCATTTTTAACTGATCACAGGCACACTGTTGTCATTTCAGAGTAAAGATGCATGTTTGGAATGAAATGAATGAATAATTCACACAGTTCAGCATCAGCCTTGAACCTGTAGGACAGTGCAAGCTCAGAAGTGAAAGGTAGAGAAAGACTGAAAATCTGAAGATTTGTATTGATGTGGGTACCTTGAATTATGGTAAGATTCTCTCTCTCTCTCTTTGAATAAGAATGGAAATGGGTAGTGTCAGGTTATATGTTTGCTATATGACTGCCTACCTTAAAACAAGCAACCCCAAAACACAACAAACATGAGAAGGGTTTGATTTGAATCCAGCTTGAAGGGAAGGAAGTCCCATATTTCCAGAGTTTATGAAATATATCTTTTAGGGTTACAGATCCTATTGACTAAAGGACCCAAAGAGTTTTACTCTGAAAAAGACAAATTCTCCCAGCTATACAGTTTCTCATGCAGCAATTTTCCTGCTGGTATCTGTCTCCGAAGTTGTTGCTGCAGCAACTGTCACCTTCAGAAGTGAGACAGCAGCCTAGCAGAGCAGAGGGGGTCATTATCGGAAAACTGCAGTAAAAGGAAAGGAAGAGTCACCTCCCTAAAATCCCAAACTGAGGAATCCCACACCTTTCAAAGCCTAGCATTCTTCCTATGTAGGCTCCAGTTTAGACCCAGGCAGCCTAGGATAGCACCCATTGCATGCTAAAGGCCAGGATCAGGTCTTGATAATGTCAACACCTGGCATCACATACTGTTCAAACCTGACAATCGTGTGGGCAAATGCAGATGTGTTTTGACCAACATGTATACTGTAATCCCTTCCTCCCATTTGGAATCACACACACCGGGTGGATCCCTCAAAGGATAACTTGCACAACACCTGGCAAGTTCTAGTGACCCAAACGTCAGTATATAAGGACCGCAGGCCACAGGAAAGCTAACACTTGTTTAACTCCAACTCCCAATATTCTTCAGCAAGCACGGCTGGGCAATTCTGGAAGTCCAAAAGCATCTCCTCCAAAACTTGGAAAAAAGTTACCCTAATTCCAAATCTAGCATGACACTTATTTGAGCCTGTCTTACACAGGAAAGAGTTGCAGTAAATGAGTCATGCCAAGAATCTCATACGAGATTCATACAGAGTACAAAACATGTCTCATGGAAAAGGGCAAGAATTTAACAGGCTTTGGATCATGGTAGGCATTCATGGCACCTGAACTCTTTGAGGATAAAATACTCAGGTGGAAAAAGAACTGGCATCTAGTTTAGCAGCAATACATATATAATGCTTGTACAAGACTCCTGGAAACACTTCTGTTACCTCTTGTTTAGACTCAGCAAAGTGTAGTAGACAGAATGCCAGGCTAGGACTCTGGAGATCAGAGTTCAAATTCCTGCTCTGCCATGAAAACTCACTAGAAGATGGCAGCGGTAAACCACATCTTGAACATCTCAAAAAGCCCTATTAAGCTCACTATAAACCAGAAGCAACTAGATGGCACACATCAACAAAACTTGTTTAACAGGATGGTATGGATCAAGACTGTGATACAAGAGCCCGGCCTCACCCAGAAACTTTAGAAGGCTACTGTCCAGAAAAAAAAGGAGAAGAAAAGACCAATCAGTACTGGGATGAATAAGACCAGCAGCCTGACTCAATAGCCTGATCCAAATGACAAAATCCTTACTTTAGGCCATGATTTCCACAGCTGGCCTCTAAAATCCTGGCTTGCCACAGAAGCCATTAACCCATTTGTCCATTAATTTGGAGATCATAATGGGGAAAGTATCGTTAACTGCAGCTTCCTGGATTGGTTTGGCAGCAGTAGCACCATCCGTAAAGACATGGGGTCCCTTCTGGAACTGCATCTCTGAGAGTCCTTAACCATTGGCAATGCTGGCTGAAGTTTCAGAATCCAGTATCATCTGGAGAGCCAAGGTTAGAGGAACAGTGATATGGAAGCATGATGCTTCCTGAGTTATTAACTCAGGCTTAAATTCTACAAATATGGCTTACATGCCCATTTAGAACAGCTAACGTGCACATGCACACAAACATATACACCTTTGTTGACATTTTTTTAAAAAAACTCTCAAAACAATGCTACGGGAAAAATAAAAGCATGAATGTAACTGTTATGCATAAATAGAATAAATAAGAGAGAGTATGGAAAAATGAAATAACAATTAGTAATAAAAATGGAGAGCACTCTAGAATTGTTCTTAAATAATAGAGAGTGCTCGTAAAGCATTCTATATTTGATTGGGTGTATTTTTAGCTATTGTGCATTCCTATCCATCTATCAGCAGGCAGAAGGCCTTATCAAAGAACACAGCCCGATTTGTGTCAAAAGCAGGAAGCGATGATTAACCATTGCAAAATATTAAAAGCATGTCACTACATCCTTCTTCCAGTCACAAGGCTGCTACAAAAATATTTGGGAAACTCCCCTTTCAATCTAAATGGAATTGGAAACAGGATTTTTGGTATCACATTAAGTGCCATGCACCTTTTATCAGAACAAGGTCCATTCATAGCCCTGCTGATAGCTTTATGGCTCAAATTGAGGGAGTGTATATGGTTTAACGTTTTTTTGTGCCAGGAGTATGTCTCCTCAACTTCTACTCTGAAATCAAATCTTCAACTACGCAATGAAATATGAGGAATGAGCAGTAACTTCTTAGGCAAGTAAAACAAAATAAATTTACAGTTTTCTTACTTTTGCAGTAAGTAATAAAAAAGAACAATATTTTACTGAAATGATAGAGAACAGAAGAGAAACAAAAACCAATAATTTGTTTTGTCACAGAACACGCAGCCTCAGATGTTTTCCTGTTTCCCATGCTTCCCTGGCTAACGTGGGCACTTCATGTACAGGCTGAAACCCCTTGCAGAAGCTACTCTGAGAGACTACAACTCCAAGAATCCCCAGCCAGCACAGCCACTGATGGTCACATTGTCTCAGGTGTTCTGGGAGACTGCATTTTAAAGAAGCAACATGTTTATACTTTGTCTAAAAGTAAGGAGGGAACACAGGCATGCACACAAGTTCCACCTACAACATCCCATCTGCTAAGTCCACAGCCTTCTATGTTGTGCACTGAGGTCTCACCA